AGTTAGCTATTTAACTCAGAAATGGCTTCTCCTACTCCTTCATTTTCTTCCGCCTCAAATGTGATCTACGTCCACATCCCCCCTCCTCCCCATGGCCCATAGAAGGATTTTTTGGCTGCCCGCACTTTTTTTTGCCTGCCCGGGCTTGCGTCTTTTCCAGCGTCTAACCTGCCGAATACGCGCATCCTGCATCTTAGACGCTGTGTCTAGACGCAAGCGTCTAAGATGCTAAACGCGCTTCTGCAACCTAGGCCCGAACGTGTTTGTCTCAAAATCAAAGGAACGCTTGCCTTACCCAAACCGAACACGTTCGGTTGGGGTTGAACTAGACATGAGCAACGAGTCGAGTGTTTTACTTGACTCGTTTTCGTTACTCGTTTTGGGCGAGTAACGAGTCGGCTGTTTCCAAGAATTACTCGGATTTGTCGAGTCGAGTCATACTCGACGATAAATTGAGTACTCGTGATTTACTCGCTTTCGAAAGCGAGTAACGAGTAATTACATTACTCGCTAGTAATTTTATTACGCGCGAGTAAACGAGTACTTGATTTCGACATTGGAGGGGGGAGGAGGCGGGTGGGGGGCAAAGTTACAACTCGATCGATCTGCCAACAGTCAGGTCTAGGGTATCGATCTGCCTTTCGCAAGAAATATGAGAGATCTGTCGCAAGAAATTGAGTGACCAAACAAAATCGCCAGATCTGTCAAATGAAATAAAAAGTAACAGGAAAACATCACTCCACTGTTGTGAGGCATTTTGTGTCCCCCAATTTGTTTGCGCAAATGTTGGAACTCGCCAAAAAGTCAACACTCGCGAATAGATTGTGTTCGGCGAAATTGGAAATTGTCGGTTGACCCTTTTCGCAACGCAATCAGTGTAGCCTGCTGCACATGTCCTCCCTCCTGCCACGCCAATCTCCGTCCCTCCTCTACCCAACCACCAGTAAGTCCTGCTCTTCCGTCATCCGTAACCAATCTCACCTAATAGATCTAGGAGCACTATTATTCGATGGTGATTATCATTCCTCATACTCTAGTAAGAGCTGGTAATAAACAGTCTGGACTCATACCCTACACTTGAATAAAAGCTAGACTCACTATTCATGTCTAGCGCGGGCCAATGTGCGCAAATACGTTAGTTAGTCCAATAAGCGGTTGGACGGGGAAAGAACAAGGGGGGGGGAATAACACACACACACAGACAAGTAATGAAATACTGGTTTTTTTTCATTCACTCAGACTCAAATGTGCTCGGTTCAAGAAGCCACCACACCCCCCCCACCTTCCACAGCCCCATCACCCCTGTCCACATCCTCCAACCCCCTCCACAGCCTCCTCCAGGTCCTCCTCCTCGAGCCCTTCCAGTGACGTTCCACTTCAATCTCGATTTCGACAATTCAAACGCTCGAACATGTTCGTGTTCGACACGGTTCGAGTGTTTTAGGCGAACATGTTTGACCCGAACAGTATATTGTTTGAAACAAACACGTTTTGCGTTCGACTCGAACAGGTCTGTCGAACCAAACAGGGGTTTGCTCGTTTGCTCATCCCTTGAAGGGATGGCATGAGCAGTCTACCGAACCAAACCTGTCTGAGTCGAACCAGAAAGAAGATTGCCAAGTTCAAAGTTTGACTAACACTGGTCCGACTGGGCAGGTTCCAACCGAACCAGCAATGGTTCGGTTAGGATCGATTCAAACCAGTCCAGGTTCGGATCGACCAGCCCTAACCTAACCGCACTCTAGCCCTAATACTTGGGTGAAATCGTTATTTCAGCCCTCAAAACACGGTTTTCCTAAGAGACCAATTGAAACCTTGGTGATTTTACCTATAGACCAACCATGAGGACGCTCTTTTATGATGTGGGGGGGAGGAGAATAGTGTAAGATAGTCGAACCGATTGAAACAGTCGAAATGTTAGGTTTGACTCAAGTTGCTGGCAAAAAAAATCCGAGGTTCGATTCGCATCAAACTGAACAGCAGCTTGGTTATTTGCTCATGACTAAACGGGATGGAGTCAGAGACGGGAAAGTAGGGAGGGGAGTACACATGAGCATAAGTCTGAGCCGTCGGTTCCGCTTCGGCTTGTCGGCTTGGCTCGTCAAACCAACAATCATGCTCCGTGGCTCGGCTGCTGACTAGACAAGCCGGACTCGAAGAACTTGCGCGGAAGACCCGGCAGTTGGCTCGTAGAAAGGCCGGATCCGGCTCATTCCGGCTCGTGACAGCTCAAGACGAGCCAGCTCGGCCCAGACTTATGCTCATGTGGCAGAGAGGAACCTTACAGAAATGAGAGAGATGGCAATGATCCAATTTCCGCAGGGATGGAACCCGTCAGCTGATTGAAATTAAGGGACCTGTCATTTCAGTTGATTGCACAAAGGAAGAACCAAACCGTGGGGTTTTAACATGGAGAAGCACATGTGCATCGACTCGTGTCAAACGGAGGACGGAGGGATTTGCCCAACAATATGAGCCTCCACTCCAAATATCACATAGGATGAGAAGAAGAATGCTGATGAGTTTTCCTGAAATTAGGTATAGGAAACTAGAGCAGTAAGAAGAAAGCAGCTTGACTTAAGGAACATGAGAAATGAGCCCTTGCTTTTTTCTTGACCTAAAATGGGGCCCGCTTGACTCTTCAAATGACCGCATCAAGTGTTCAACGGGTAAAAATCAAACCCCAAAAAGTCTAAAGCGATAATAGTAGGGAGTAGAAATTAGCATGGGTCTGAACTGTGCGTGCGCCTTGAAAGGCTTGGCGAATAGACGCGGGAATATTACCCCCGTCCACGCCGACTGGTGGGTAAAAGTCCGATGTGCACGGGTTCAAGAGGTGGTGACGACGAGCATTGTTCATCCACGAGTATCCGCCAGCGTATCAAAGTAGAGCTAGCTCGTATTGGCTCAACCATCTCGCCCACGACGGACGAGCCACGAGCCGGGTGAGCTGCCGGCTCGGTTCGTTGTCCCGCCGGCTCGTCACGACCTGTACTTATGCTCATGCGGCAGAGAGGAGCCTTACAGGTATGTTAGACGACGTAATGAACCAATTTCTGAAGGGATTGAGCCCGTGAGCTGGTTATGCGGAAGGGCCCTGTCATTGCATCCAGATGCAGCAAGAAATAAACAGAACATGGGGTTTGACTATGGGCGAGCACAAGGGCAGTGACTCCTGCCAAACAGTAGTTGGCCAAATTTGCCTGACAAGATGAGCCTTTAGAGGTCATGCACTAGATGAGGAGAGAAATGCTGATGATTCTTTCTGAGGAATACGGATCATGAAACTAGTAATTCAGGAGAAAGCGGTGAGAGTGTGATGGAAAAGGGAATGGGGCACAATTAAGCAAGGCAAGACCTAACCTGACCCGAACCGACGTGGGCTTTTGGCTAGGTCATGTTGCTCCTCTGGTGGGGTCGATCCGGCCATTTCAACCTGACCCGACCAAACCCGAACCAGCTCTCGGGTCGGGATTTGCCAGGGTATATGCTGACTAGGTATGAGAAGGGCACCGAGCCGCGGTCCAGTTTGGTGCAGTTGGGTTCGGTTTTCCCGAAACCAAACTGCGTTTTTTTTCCTTCCAGCTCGTCAACGAACCGAACCGGTTCGTTACACAAACCAGTTCGCTTGGAAGAGTGAGTAAAATCGTACACGCGAGGAGTTACATACTCATAGATACAGTTTTACTGGTCCCTGTTGTGCAGCAAGTATGTCCCAGAGGGTAAATTCTCACCTATGGATAGGTCGTTGGTTCAATTCTCAGTAGCTGCACTTTCCTTCTCATTATGCTCCACATTACATGTCCACACTCCACCACACTCCACCACAGTGAAGTGTGGTCACAGTTGGCATTGCCACCTGTCCACTCATCCCACACTCACCTTGCTGGCTTCTATGGTGTGCCATATGCTGTCATGTGGGCTGTTGTTCCAGTCTGGCCCACATGTGCAACATGTGGCTTCACTTGCTAGCTTGGCAAGGTTGGCTAGCCTTGCCCTCAGCATTGAGGTGCTGCAGCTAGCCTCAAGAGTTCAGCCACATATATGTGGTTTCCCACTTCACTAGGGATCATCCTTGACAAGGACCTTGCTCTAGTCTTTAAGACTTGTACCAATTTCTTGCTAAGGATATTCCTTCTTCCTATCGTGCCCGAAGTTCACCGATCCGTTTTCTTCAGTCCCAAAATGAACCTCCCGTGACTTGCAAGCAGGGGTATAAATCTGAAAGTGGCTGGTCACGACCTTTGTTTCTTTGCTACAATGTGTGTTTCTGCGCGACAAAGTGTCTCCAGCTCAAACAAGGAGATTTTAGAACCACCAATTCCTTTTCAACTCCATTGCATCACCCGCTACCTAACCCAACCTCTACAATCTCTGCACCTTATGACTTGGTGAGAAATCTAGACCTCTCCCGTACCCACCCCACTCTGCTGCGACATACTGGAATCCATTTTATATAAAAAGTCTAACAAATGCAGAATACATTGTTTACTATTTCACTGTAGTCGAACAGCTCTGTACACTTCTCCACGTGCATTTATCAAAAGTAAGCCTATGTTCTGTATGGTCACAAACACTGAGCAATCTGTATCGGCATCCGAAAAAAAGAACACCTCGTGCATTCAATCAAGATTATATATAACATTCGCGCGTGTCAGATTTATCCAACCAATGACAAGTGCACACGCGCATCAGTGCTATTCGGGCAAATCATAGGCGGGAAATTTTGAAGCAGAATCTCGACCACCTGTCTCCCAACTCTAACCAATCACAGCTTTTGCCGAACCTCCACCCGAGTTACTTCGATTGGTTCCCAACAGTTTGGGGAAATCGCAGCCTGCGACCTGGAGTCACTCGCGTCAAAAAGGCACTTCACCAGAATGTTGCGAGTTACTTTTTCCCGAGTAAGTTTTCGGGCCTCAAAAAGGCACTTTTTGAACCCGTCAATTTTCGGATGGCGGACGAGCGCGCGAGCGATAACCTATTCTCATGACCGCGTCATGACCTATTCTCTCCCAATCGTCCTTCCCTCATCATCCCCCTCCCCCTTTGCTGAATCCCCTTCCCCCTCAATCCCCCCCTTTCCCACCCACATCATTTAACCCCCCCTTCCCCACCCCGTCCTTAAGGACGAATGGAGCTGCGAATCCAGAAGGCTTGCACGATAATTACCCTGCAGTAACTCACCCCAACCCCCCCATTAACCGCCTGCCCCCCAACTCCCCCTTCGCGATAACCCCCCCTTTCCTCCTCCCCTCCCCTACTCTCCGGTAACCTCCCCCGTGTGCACTGTTAGACCCGCCTGTACCCCTCGTCACTCCACCCTCCCCTTCCGAACTCTCCTTACCTCTCCTCCTCTCCACCACCAGCCCAAGGGCCGCATTGCAGAGAAACCCAACGCGGGAGGAGCCCCCCCAGCAGATGGGCGGAATGGGAAGGGCGGGGTTGGCAGCATGATGTTTCGCTGCTTCAGTCCCACTCTCTCCTACCCGCCCATGCCTCTCTCCCCACTCCTTCAATTCCCCTACCGCTCTCTCTCAGCAGGAGAAACTCGGTGCTGGTGAAGGAAGATGATGGCTGCAAAAGCAGCATCCCCCTCTCCACCTTTCCCCTCCCCCTCTCCACCCTTCCCGTCCCCCTCTCCACCCTTCCCGTCCCCCTCTCCACCCTTCCCCTCCCCCTTCCACCCTTCCCCTCCCCCTCTCCACCCTTCCCCTCCCCCTCTCCACCCTTCCCCTCCCCCTCTCCACCCTTCCCCTCCCCCTCTTCACCCTTCCCCTCCCCCTCTCCACCCTTCCCCTCCCCCTCTCCACCCTTCCCCTCCCCATCTCCACCCTTCCCCTCCCCCTCTCCACCCTTCCCCTCCTCCTCTCCCCTCACCAGGAGAAGTTAGGTCTTAATGGCCCCAACGCATCGAACCCCCACGTGGGTGGGTGTGAGGTTTCCGGCAGGCGGGGGAAGCACTTGTGGCGAGCTCCCTGCTGCGACCCCCCACTCAGTGTACCCCAATCCCCTCCCCTTCCCCTCTCCCCTTGCTGCTAACAGGAGAAACTTGGCCCCAAGGGCCGGGCCTCCAGTAAACAAGACGGCGACTCTCAGTCGCAACAAAGCAAGCAAGGACGTTGAGAGGAATTGCTAAACAGACTCATCGTGACCAGGAGTAATGAGTTTGTGGTCAACAGCAAGAGGAGTGGGCTGTGTGGTGGAGAATAGATGCTTTAACCGCTGAAGGGCATGCTGCACCATGCGTGACTAAGTCAGGCTGATAGTGTGCGCTACTTTGTTCCTAGCGATTTGCAAGCCAAGATAGATGCGCATCTCACCAGAGTCAGTGTAGCTGTGTCTCTTCAGCAGTTATGACTTCACTGAAACCCAACCCTGTCTGCCATAGCGGAGATCAGGTCGTTGACGTACATGAGGACGAAGAAAGAAGTGGATTCAGAATGCAGGAACAATACTAGGTCGGCGGATGAAAGACGGAACACGAGGTCGGCAAGAGTGGAATGGAGAGTCGGGCCGTGATGAGGTTTTGCTAGGGATGTTATATTGAGATTCCTAATTATAGTGTAGTTATTCTGCTATTTTTTGAAGACTTGATTTGGTCACGAGAGTTAATGTTCGCTCGGTAGACGAGTTGCTCACTACATGTTAGGAGATTCCAACAAGTAATTTGCGTGCATGAACGTTGGGTTTCCGCCCTTCCGCATCAATTCCCCCAACCCAACTTGTTTATGGCCTCACATCATCTCGACCTTGTTTGAATTATTTGCTCATGTGTTTTCATAATGCTCCCTTCGTCTTTGAATTATCGCGCGTCAAGGGGTATGCATCATTACAAAATCATCCTTTTGAATGCAATGATACACTGGTACAAAGCATTGGCAGTCGTAACTGTTACAAAATCATACAGAAGCTTTAAACCTAAGATACAAAACCTAAGATGATTTGTTCAAAGTATCCACTTTCAGTTTAAGCCTGTGCCGTAAGAAAAACTCAGTGTATTTTGTTTTCCTAAGCGCGTTACTCTGCAAAGTTTCTTGTAATGAATACGAATTCATTACTGTAGAGGCTGCTCCTAGCGAGGACCACCCCGAGCACTTCGCGTCGGTTTCGAGGTTCGGCCTACACTTCGGCCCGAACCACTTCCGAGTCGCCCCGCACCAATCGCAACACTTCCAACCCATCCACGTCCCGAGGTCCTCGCCTAGCACGGTTTCGACCCTATAAATGCTCGCTTCTTTATCATTCTCGACATTCTGTAGTTTCATCCTTTTTATAAAGTCTTCCGCGCACTCTTCTTAGTACAACTCATAACACTTGGTATTAGAGCTACTTTCCTAGGTTCCCCGTTTTTTAGAGTGTAATACCCCTTGGGGGGGGGGGACGGGAAGGATGCCGTGGGGTCCAGGAGCTGCGCGATAGCCGGCCAGGTGAACGGGTAGTTGCTCCTCGCGGCCATGATTTTCACAGGCTCTCCTTCGGCACCGCCGGATCCTTGCCCTCGACGATCGAGATGGACCGTGACCTCCCTCCCCCCGGGTGGCGGACAGCTGTTGCTGTCGTCGCATTTAATTGCGTGAGTTAATTTCGTCGTTTCCGTTAATCTCGGCGCTGTTTTTATGCGGCAGTTGGCGTAAGGAAGATTGTCGTCACGGCATGCGCGAGATTCTCGGAGCAGCAGTCGTGCGAGTTGAAGTTTTCACGTGGTCGTCAACTGCGCCCGAAGAAATCGGAGTTAATGCGTGCGGCAAGTGGCATCGGGCGATTTCGTCACGTTGCGCACGAGAATCTTGGAGGTCTTCGGCACGTGGTGATCGTCGTCACTGTGCGCGAAGATTTCGGGTGACTTCACGGCAGAAACGACAGCTGGCCGGGCAGGCCAGGCGCATGGTGATTTGCGTCGGAAAATGCAACGGCGAGGAGAGACGGCGTGGCGACTGCCCGAAGAAAGCGGGGGCTACCGTCGTCCCGCCCGGGTGTGGCCGGTGTGGCTGCAGGTGTCAGAACTAGCAGTAGAAAGTAAGAATGAAGAAAGGAGGAGGTTCACTAGCAAGCAGTTGAGTACATATAGGAAACCCTAGATTGGGCTGTACTCGCTATAGAGTACCCCACTGCAGGCTAGACAAATACAACATTCTGACACACCCCCATAGCCAAAGTGGGGTGTAATCAGCACAATGAGCAGGTATAGCAGGAGTTCACAATAAGAAGCAAAGCTAGAGGTAATCACAGCGGGCAAGTGAGGAGGAGGAGGGACTGTGAGAGGAGAGAAGATAAGAGACGGCGGCTGAAGCTGCAGACACACGGGCAACAGGAGCTGCTGGCACAGTGGCTACCGGGACAGTGCGCCCCGGACTACTGGAGTAACTGGCTCACGGGCTACGACGAGCTACAGGAGCAACGGACCCTCGGGCGACAGGCGCAGCAGACTCTCTGGGCTACCAGGACAGTGCGCCCCGGACTACAGGTGCTGCGGACGACAAGACAGCAGCCTCCGCTCAACCTCCTCCAACTGTCCCACACACCCCCCACACACCCACTGCTTCACTCCTAACTCCACTTGCACGTCACCCCCCTAGTACCACTCCTTCGGCTCCCACACACCCACCCCCCTCAGCGGCAGCTGCAGCACTGGGAGACGGAGGAGGAGGAGGAGTAGGGGACGACGCACAGAAACTGCACCCCCATACCCCCCACCTCCAAACCCTAATTCAGGAGAACGGGCAGCAGCAGGGGTGGGGCGCCGTCAGAAGCACGGGGGACAGCGGGCAGCGCAGGGGCAGAGAAAACAGGGCGCCCACGGGCCTGGCGCAGCCCGTACGAACCGCGTGCGGGCGGCCCGAGGCGCGCCCTGGCCTGGCGCAGTCCGTACGGGCCGCGCGCGGGCCTGGCGCTGCCCGTACGGGCCGCGCGCGGGCCTGGCGCAGCCCGTACGGGCCGCGCGCGGGCCTGGCGCAGCCCGTACGGGCCGCGCGCAGGCTGTACGGGCCGCGCGCGGGCCCTATGCAGGTCGCGCAGGCCGCGACGGGCGACGGGGGGCGACGCGCGGGTCCCCGTCGCCCGTCGCAGCGCCTCCCGGGAGCGACGCGCGGAGTGACGGGGCAGAAAGCCGCCGCGCGCCTCGGAGCGCACGGCGGGCAGAAAACCGCCACGCGCCTCGGGGCGCACGGCGGGCAGAAAACCGCCGCGCGCCTCGGGGCGCACGGCGGGCAGAAAACCGCCGCACGCTCCGAGCGCGCGGCGGGATGAAAAATCCGTCGCACGCCACGGGGCGTGCAACACACAGAGTAGCAGTAGCAGCGGAAGCAGTGAGGTGGTGGGCCCACCCACAGGATCGACCCAAGGGGATCGACCTGCTCTGATAGCATGTCAGAACTAGCAGTAGAAAGTAAGAATGAAGAAAGGAGGAGGTTCACTAGCAAGCAGTTGAGTACATATAGGAAACCCTAGATTGGGCTGTACTCGCTATAGAGTACCCCACTGCAGGCTAGACAAATACAACATTCTGACAGCAGGAGGGTGCGCCATTGGCGTTTTTGGCAGAGCGGCACAGTGTGGAACGGAAGTTGTAATTCAATCCACTGAAAATATCGGAAAAAGCCGCCTACGACTAGACTATCTATCGCTAGGGTCACTGCTGTACCTGCAACAAGATCGGCGAAATTTTCGGAGCAACAGCAACGGCCGATTTGTACTTCAGGCGGCACAGCACCCCCTGATCAAGGGTAGTTGTGCCGCAGACAGGGCAGTACACCGGCGGGGTGAAACCGATCGAACCGATCGAACACTATGTTTAGACCCGCAATTTTTGGGGGTTCTACCGGCTACAATACACGGAGTTGCGTCGAGTGCGGGTCCAGCGAGAGAAACAGGTTCCGCGCTTCAGGAGGGGAGAAGACGACCTACCAAAAAAGACATTTTGCTGATGGCGGGTTTCGTGGCTAAGTGGCGGTAGCCGGATAGGGCCCAACTACCGACGAAAGTCTTACGACGTTCCACAAGCAGCTTCGAAGGCGGCCTAAGTGGCGACAGTCCTGGAGGGCACTGGACGAATAACGTGGGGCCCTGTGTTTAGCCCTGTGCTGGCTAAAAAGCGCGGGTATTGCGCAAGTTCAACAGCTGGGCGTACAAGAAATTTTCAAGGTTACGACACTGTGTCGGCCCCGACAAAACCGGACCATCGGCAACAGTTCCCCTGCCGAAAAAGTCGGAGCTAAAGCAATTTGGTGTAGCTGTCGGAGTTTCTCCTAATTCAACGGGCTACCTGACGTGAGTGCAGCGGCGAAGATGGAGTTTCTGAAGCTATGGAGTTTTAAACGCGATAGACGAGGTGGGCAACGAAGCGGCCGGCCTGACTGTTTGATATGATAAACACGATCCGGCTACGATATCGTTCGCGCCTTCACCGAGTGTCAGAAACATCGCGGGCAACACGGAGTTATGCCTCATCCGACAAAAGCGGACGCTGGGTGAACGGCGACAAGAGAAATTGTCGGGGGGTGAAGACAAAAAAAACAGTGGAGGGAAAGTTGTGGGTGATCCAGCAGATCACTTGAGTGAAAGGTTGAGAACGTGCACCACTCCACCGCGAATTTCAGAGTCTATTTGGTATACACCCGAAAGGGTTTGATATTTTTACATGGAGGCGCGGCGAGAGGTGCATCGCCAAGGATACCTGGGATTCGCTAAGTGGCTTCGACGGGTATGACGATCGGTGAACATCGGAGTACCAGGGTTAACGGCGGAAACGTCGGGGCTACACGGCGGAAAATAACTTCGGGACTGCTGCCTCAACCATGATTTTCGGGGCTACATTTCTACGGTGGGAGATGGGTGAACGTCTGCTCGGCAGGTGATTTCAGCGTTACGGTGTACTTCGAAGCCATCTGGGGA